CTCTTTTTTTTTAATCAGCTCAGTGTTCATTTTTTTGTGTGGAAATGAAGTAATCAGAGATGTTTTTTCTCAATGGTCTCTCAATACCCATCCTAAAAACCAAAATTTTTAAAATGGCTCACAAATTATATTATATTAAGGACATTATATTATTTTTTATAAAGGGTTAGTGAGAGAGCACTTTTGGGGGGACTATTTTCAGCTGCGGATTAATACACATTTAGTGCACTGTTCAGTATTTACAGCAGCGCTTAATTGGTGTACGTGCAATTTACTTAAAATAAAGTACAGTGTTCATGTTCATCGTAATGAATGAACATGTCAGTGCAACCTGCATTACCGTACCATGTTAGCGCTGTCGTTGTGAACGTGTTGCAGGCTAGCGTTAGCATTCAGCTCAAATAACCACTGTGCATAGTTAGAGACACAATACTGCTGTTTGGTCTTCTCAAGGGATTTATTGACAATAAGAAAGATATCTTACTCTTTAACAAATAGAAGGTTAGAGTGCCTGCAGTGGTTTCCAGCCTTCATGTCAAAAGCAAATGGTCACTTTTGTTAAGTCATTGTTTTTGATGATAAAGGGCAGTTTTGTTCTCTCTGATGTCCTGTGTGAGGATGCTGGTCACATACTCAAATCAGGACGTATAAACATCAATTGCTAGAAAAGCACACTATGCCAGTTTGAAAAGAATGTATAAATAACACATTGCTGCCAGGCAGAAATGAACCCTCTCACCTTCAAAATGTCAGGACACGGAGAAAACGGCTCCATTTTAAATTTGACCACTCTGCATCTCCTATTTTGTCCTCTGGATTTTGAAAAGGTTTCATGAAACCAGGGGTCACGCGCTGTTTCCAGCCCTCTGAGAACCACAAATAAAAGCATACAAATCAAAAGACTGTTTGATGTTTTCTTTTTATAGTTACCATGGTTTTAGCTTCTCAATTTTAAGAGCACAAAAAGTACTGGTGGTTACACTGTATTTTTAAATAATCCACCTTCAGTTTAATGAACTACATCTGACAACTGACGATTGGTGAACTGACTTAGGAGACCTTCCTCCATATATTTAAATCTTGTGAGAAGACCTCGCCCCCACACCTTCCACATCTCTCAATGAGCCCTAGCATCCTCTTTATGTGCTCGAGCAAGAACTGAAAGTCAATATCTGTGAAAATGAAAAACTCTCCGTCAAAGCCAGAGACTAGATTCATAGATGTGATGCCATCGAATGTGAAATCTGGAGCTTTTTCATTTTTTATTCCCTGAGTGATATTTTTAGTTATGGAGCGGAAATTTCACAGAAAATCCCTCTGGATTTCGTGTGTGTTGCCTTTAACATCTCTTCTTATTCATCCCGTCTGGTGCATTTTCAGCGATTGAATGTTGATGATAAAAGAGATTCTTTGACATAATATTCTTCATGTTAAGAAAGTGGACCGTTAATCTCCTTTAATTTTACATGAATGGTTTCTACGGCCCTTTTTTTTGACACAGAATACATAACATGTCTGGCTTCATCTTCGTCTTGGTAATGTCTATTTTGTTACACCGGTGCACAAGCTCTGGGTAGACTTTGAACTGGGACTCTCATTTGCTCACATGCTGCATGTAAAGTATTTTTTTGATATTCCTAAATTCATCCATGAATGACCATTTATATAAAAAAAAGGGGGGAGACAGCTGGTCTTATTATTCATGCAAGGTCTCTTTTCACTTTTTGTTCTCTTTTTTTTAACCTCTTTTGCTTTACATAAGGGAAAAATATTTAATATAGACCGATCTAACAAGAGCAGATGATCCTCAACCACTTAAAATGGACTCACTCCGTGTGCTTCTTGGTGCGTTACTGATTTTAGTTTATAGATGATAATTGGGACGTACGTTAATAGAGTGTTCCTGACAACAAGCCGTGCATTTGATTTCTTTCTGTGCGTGTTTTACCTTGTGCTGCTGCCGTCGTGACTTTTAAGCAAAAGTTACTCAGGCGCTTATGAAGACGTGACGCTGACATGTTGAATCGCCGTCACATTCGTGTACTGAGGGGCATGTTTGTGTCAAGTGTCAGCGTTATTTCTTAGAGAGCATGCTCTCTCGGCTCAGCGGAGATACCTTTATCAAGTGTATAATGCAGTACATATAGGAGTCTTAAAAACTGCAGAATTTTATTTCTTAAATTGCTCTCAAGAAGCACGGCTAAGCCGGGGAGAAAAACAATTTCCACACAACAGAAAAAAAGGAAAACACTTCACTGTAACTACACCCTGCAAAGTTGATGACTTCTCAAAACTGAAGATTAGGGTGAAAATCACAGCTCGCCCACTGCTGCTTGCCACCCCCTCTCTTTCTCCCTCCCTCCCTCCCTTCTGAAGTGTGAACAGATGCTTTGCTGTCTCAGCTTAGCGAACTTTGATCAGCGTGGGGTTGCCAGCCTTCACTCGGACAAGGTCGCGGAGAACGAGATGATGGCCGGCGTGTTGTCAAAAGTGGGGAGTTGCCACCTGTTTGAGAATACATTCTGCTCGCCCTCACAGCTAGCTGAACCCTTAATGCCAGGGGGCTTCACGATGATTGAGTCAACAGCCTTCTGTATAGACATAGGCCTATTCATTGAAGTGTCTATTATAAGTGTCCCCAGGTATTCTTGTCAACCTTGCTGCAGACAATAACCAACCTTGGGCGGCATGCAAATCCGCTGTGAGTTACGGAGCTCCAAACAGCAGACGGGATCACTTATAAGCCTTCCTGTGCATTGGCCTGTGTCCGTGCTGCTGATAAACGGCTGTACGGTTTGTTTTTCTGCTCTGATAGGGAGAATGAAATCAACAGCAAGCTTTGTCGCTGCGCAGCCTTTCTCAGTCTTAACTCCAATCCTCTTTGCTTCCCTCCAGGGTGGAATTTCGAATGACCTGATCAATTTCTAATCAGGAAAGACTCACAGCCTTTCTCTCATAGCGATAGACTTTCCCACAAATCTTTTATACGGAGGGCTCACTTGGAAATTGTTGAGAGCAAAAGGGCAGGTATGCTTGTTCATATTTCCTCACGTGTGGCGATGATAGCACTTTATCTCCAGCGTGGATCTGCCCTTAGCTAAATATATAGAAGTATTTGTGGAATCCTAAACACAGCTGCACATCAGAATGAAACCCGGGCCCTGTTTAAAGGCAGCGAGAGGTGGCCTTTTCATGTTGAAAATGAAACCCCAGGAGGTCCGCCTGCTTTTGTCAGTCATGAAAAGCCGGTGTCTGAATGAAAAAAAAAAACACTCCCCTGCTCTGTTTTATTCTGGGAATTTTGTCTCCAGCGGGTTCCTGACTAACTGTAAATATGCTCTGTAGTAGTTGAACATGGTTTAAAGCAGTGGTTCCCGACCCTTTTTGGCAGACGTAGCCCCACAGCCCAGGAACACCTGGAGAGAATTTCTTCAAATTTGGCACAAACATCCGCTTCCTCTCAAGGATGAACTGATAGATTTTGGTGTTCAAAGGTCACTGTGACCTCACAAAACAGGTTTTCTGCAAATAACACAATAATTCATATGCTAATTACGACAATGTGACACAAACGTCTGATAGGATAAAAGGATGAAGTGATGACATTTCAAACAGGCATGGCTGTAAACTGCAACTTGACTGGTTGGCAGAGGCCATACAACCACGAGGCGGAAAGTGTGTTCACACTGAAGAACCAGCCAGTGTCGTAAAAATAACATCAGCAAGATATCTATACTGCTTTTTCCAGAATTCAAAATGAGTAAAATAAAAGCTGACAGAACGCAGGAACATGAATAAGGTCACAGCGACTACAGTTCACAACATCTCGCCTCATACCGACACAACATCTCGCCTCATACCGACAGAAACTCATCATTGATCAAATTAATTCACAAAAAAACGCTACAAAAGGTATCATGTAATATCGTAATATATTGTTAGGCTGTGTGCAAGTTGCCCACAGGCCCTATTTGTGGCCAGTGACTTGAATGTGGTAATTGTCTAAAGTGGTAAAGAAATGTTTTGGATTATATGTTTTTCGTTGTTACACACCACCCTTCATTATGGAAATGACTATTACGAGAACAACACTTTTATTTCCATGCAAGGTCATCGTATTCAACCTGTTAAAGTGCCTGCATTGGTAAATAATGCATATTTGATTAAAACATTTTTCCCCCCCGATTTTCACTCCAGAGTACGCCTGACCGCATCTAGCGGTTAATCATTAAAATGTTCAAAATCTTCCAGCTCAGCATACATTTATGGGTCAAAGATACCCTCCGCAAACATTAAAAAGGTTAATATTAAACTCTGTGTGTCGCTAGAGAGGTTGAATAACAGCTTTTTCCAAGTTCCACCAGTGAAACAAAAAAAAAGTTCAATAAATGAATAAAAACTCCTTTAAATTAACAGTTTTTACATTTTAATTGGATGCATATTAAGTGTAAACTATTTCTCTATAATGTACACTTATAAGAATGAATTTGAGTTTGACACAGGATCAATGACTCATTCTGGTGTTACGCCAGTTTGTCAATGACTTGTGCATTTAGACTCATTTTATCTCAGTTAAAAGCCGTTTCTAGTTATTGACATTTGCTGAACATGGGAGGGCTTTTGCTTGTTCTTTTTTTTCCAGGAGAACTGCAATCATTTCCACAATCGATCCGTACAATTGTTGGCGTTTGATTGTGGTTATAAGAGCTTAGAGACTTTAACACGTCTTGTGTAATTTGGCTTGGAAGAAAAACAGAGCAATAAACAAAGCTCTAATAGCGACACAGTCCATGGCGATGCGCAGAAAATAGTAGTGTGATGTTACATAAACGTAGACAGTTTCATCTTGGAGCTGCTAGTACTGTGAAATTACAAGACCAGTGTTAGAATTTACACTCCCTTTTGTATTTAAAGTTAAACCGTTTTAGAGCCACAAGCTGTTTCTTTCCTGTCTCTCCCAGCATGTGTGTCACAAAAACGCCCTTTTATTTGCATTCCAGGTGGATCATTGAAGAATGGAGGTCACACGACTCATTCACTTCTCCGAGTCAACATCTGAGCAGTCAGTAAAAACTGGCTGCATCTGCACCTAACCAGAGTCCGTGGATTTACCTTCCTTTGGTTTTTGCAAAGAAGCCACATCAATGAATTTCATTATGGACATTCATGAACCCGATCCTGTGTTGTCTGCATAAGAACAGGATATGCTCATTGGACAGCAGTGATATATTTGATCCCGGCCCATTGATTTTGACAACATGTCTCTCCCCAAGCGGAGGAAAATCCGGACTTTTGCCTTGCTGTTTTGCGTCATTACATTTACAACATTTCTGTTCAGTTACACTTTCAGGGACCCGTCGGTCTACTTCTTCAAGCACGCTTTTCGCCTGTCGGATAACTTTTTCTCCAAAGGACTTTGTGCCTGCCAGCAGTGCATGACGGAGGTGGAGGATGACCCCTGGTTTGCTGAGCGCTTCAATCAGTCCAACCATCCTCTGATGACCAGGGAGAACAGCGTCCTCTCTGATGAAACCTTTAAATGGTGGCAGGTAAGACTCGGGGGGGGGGGGGGAATGTGTTCGGGGGATTTGCGGTGCTATCCCACAGAAGATTAAAAGAATGGGAAAAACAAACATGCACATTCAGCGTCTGAGAGCAGACGAGGTGCTGAAAAGACAGATCATGAATAAAGAACAGAGATCACACGCTGCTGTAATGCTCCTAAGAAGTGTTTGTTTTCGCCACATCGATTGTTTTGAATCCATGGGATCTTAACCACGATCAAGTTGTGAAGCAAACTCCCACGCACAATTTGTTCTCATTTAACAAGGGAGATGGTGGAAATGGAAATTGTTGTTTACTCTCCCCATCTTTTCCCACATCTATAGACGAACAGAGATATTTTCCATCATGACTTGAAGCAATAGGTGTATATGTATAGATGTTACCACAACTATATTTACTATAGTTCTTCCTGAATTAATGTAACTACGCCCCTTCTGCTTATCACGATATTCCAAAGAATAGGTGTGGATATGTTACAATAGCCCCTGGATAGCAAATATTATTTTATGATACATGTTAAACACTTGTTAGGTGACTAAAGCCATCATCAGTCACTATTTGTATCCGTGTGAGAGGAAATGATGCTCACTTTATTGCAGAGTTAGACAGAATTGGCCAATCATCCACAGGGATCACAACCAACATAAAAATGAATCCAGAAGTATTAAATACAATAGCTGTTTCAGTGTTTTATGGAAGCTTGCGTGTTCCAATCCACTGATGTAAATTGAATTCACGTCAGCTGTATAACTTATTACGTATAGCCTTAATTAAATTCTCTCTCTATATATATATATATATATATATATACTGTACTTTCTGTACGCCACATTATCAGAGAACAGCTCTCTAAATTAGAAAAGCCTATTCACAAAATGTATGTCACACAATTATCCTACCTTTGTCTGGAAGGCATCCAGTACCTTAGGCTTTCCCACATTCACCTCACACCATGTCCAATTAGAGGCAAGAATAGAAAAATTACTGCAAGGTTGCCTCTTGTCACTGCTCATTTCAGGAGATGCTTCTCACCAGGAGCTTGATGAGGCAAGTGTCACATATCAACGGCAGCCCGGCCAGATGGTTCGGTCTGCGTTGCTGCCAGGCAAGGGCATGACCTCCAGGTGGACCCGGATTCTTTCCTCCGAGGGGATGTCAGGGCTTACATGCTACACGGCTAAATGTAATTTCCGTAGAGGAGAGTTTCGAATTAGGCAGAAAATGTGTTGGGTAATCTTGTTTTTTTGAAGATTTATACAAAAGTAGAGTTTAGCCTCAAGTTTGAAAGTCATATTTCTATAAATTATATCTTATTGCCCGTAATTAATGCTGAATCAAAGGAAAAAAAATCTTCCCCAGAATTGTATTGTCAAGGTGAAAAACCCTTTACTGTCGTACTTAAAGCATGAGTCGCTAAAACTCTGCATTAAAACTCATGAGAGATTGCAGAACATTCGGTATCCGTTCAGTGTTTCCAGCTGCCACAGCACAATATATAACAGTCTCCAGTGCACACACATTCCTGCATTTATTTTCTGTCTCTCCGAGTTCAAAGCCACCAGAAGAAGGCCATGCCAAAAGAGCCCCCGCAGACGGAGCTAAGCCGCCCCTGAGGTTATTTCAGAAATGTGCTCGGTGTCTCGGGCTCCGCTGCCCTTGTTCAATCACTTCAACTTAAAGTGGCCCTGGAGCCGTGGCTCTCTCTGAGGTCTGTCTCTGCTGTGTCACCAGTGGTTGCAGTCAGAGAGGCAGCCGGCCAACTTCTCTGACGTTGTGGAGGAGCTGTTCCAAGTCATCCCCGATGAGGTGCTGTACATGGACGCCAGCCCCAAGCGCTGCAGGACCTGCGCCGTGGTGGGGAACTCTGGGAACCTGAAGGGGGCCCAGTACGGCAGCCTCATCGACCACTGTGACTTCATCATAAGGTCAGTTAACACTTCGGTGCCTGGTGTGATTTTGAGAATATTGCAGTCACAAACTTGACATGATCTCTCATGATGACCATTGTTCCCAAAAAAGTAAATGCTGAGGTTTTTTCCTACGACAAGTTAAGGAAGGCTGATAAACAGGTTGCGAACGAACCTATAATTTAGCCACATTATCTAAACCACTTTGTTTGGAGGTGAAACTGAAAGATTACACCACGAAATACTGGTAATACTTCCTCAGTCAGGGCAGAAAGTAACCTTTGAGGACCCTGATGTTTGCTATGCCGCTTTTTTTTGTTTGTTTTTAAGGGTCATTGTGATATTGAATTATTCAATAATATCAGTGTGGAGAAGGCTTTAAACGAGCGTTTTAAACCATCGCTCAGGGAGATTTACAAAAAAAAACACAGTTGCACAGTTACGTGAATACAGAAAAATTGGATTGGATTGGTTGGGGTTGACCTCAGCATTTCTAAAATCCTGGCTATGGTCCTGCTCTCATGTTCCGGGACAAATGTGTGTGTACACTACAGCAAGCACAGTAGGTCAAAGGTGAACTGGAAAATAGTTCTGTAAATGGTGATACATGTTTACAATACATATTGAGCACCTTCAACCTGGGGGTTTATAGAAAAATAAGACCCAATTGGTTAAAACTGTACATGCAACTACTGATTATTTTCATTATTGATTGATCTGCGGATGAGATTATTTGATTAATCATTAGGTAAATCCAATGTCAGATGTATAGTGAAAAATGGTAGAACACAACCTGACATATTAAATACTTGTTCTATGGGATCTACAAACCCACAACACAATGATATTCAGTTTACTGTCTCAAAATTGTGAAAAAAAGCAAATATTAACATTTAAGCAAATTTAGCCTTATTTGGCTTTACTTTCTGAAACAATTAATAGACCTGAATTAGAGAGAGAGGGGGGCTGACATGCAACAATGTCCCCGGGACACTGTTATCACAGTGCATGCATCTTATAGGCCACTTGATACTGAGCTTCAACTGACTGGACTCATTCTTCACTCATAGGCTTTAACTTGAAATTTTTAGGTGCTTTTATTGTTTCCGTCTCCTGCAGGACTGATCGGTTCTGAAACAAATATGTGAACAGATCAGCTGCAAGGTTTCCATCACATTATATGCATTCAGCAATGTTTATTGAGTGGCAGACAAACGCTTTAATTCTGCTCACTGTGTAGAATCCACGTCTCTCTCTCACATTGATTTCTGCCACTCCGCAGCATGCGCTCAGACATTCACACACCCTTGTTCTGGGCTCCATGAAAACTTTAGAAAATTATGTTGACAAAGAAACGGATAAAAACAACAGAGTTTGAGCATTCAAATGTTTTTTTTCGGTGCCTTAGGGCGGCAGGGATCAAGAGAGGAGTTTGTAGCTCCCTGTAATCTGTTACACCAATTGCAGCTCTGCAGAGAATGAATTGGAAAAGATGGAAAACACGACAAGGAGATTTTCTGAAGGGGTTGTGGTTGTGCTCTCTGCTGCAGATTAAAGCTGTTGGCTTTGTGATAAAAAATTAAGCTAATTTGGACGTCAAAGGGTAAACAAGCATTCTCGCTCAGACTCTTATCCAATATCTCCAAGTCACAGATTTGAGTCTTGGCCGTCTTTTTGCAGGTTTAGTCTGAATAAATACTGATCTGCAGGGGTGGAATATGCAAATTCCTAAAGACAGGATTGGTATTGTTGTTTGAATATTATATAACAATTTTGGACAATGTTACAGTCTGCTGTCGTAAATAAAAATCATAGCAGCCTCCTGACATTATTTCTCCACAGAATGGATGATGTAAATGCTTGAAGAAGATACTTATCGTAGACAATAGAAAATAGCACTCGTTTTTAAGCTAAATGTATTAAGTCAATGACAGTGATAGGCTATCAGTTTAGAAATGACATGGGAACACAGTCTGGCGAGTGTGTACAGAGACTGAAAACCAATGCCTTTCATACATCCATAATGCAATTCGCCCAAAATCCTCTAAAGCCTCCTTTTTAGACCATTATGAATATTAAATGGCATCGGCCTATCAGCTAAAGCCTCTTGTTTGCTCAGCAGATTGCAGTGGTAAAATAGATTTGAATCATAAAGAGAGCCTTTTCATCCGCCTGACAAAAATAAGCTTGATGGAATTTTCAGAATGATGTTTCAATATTGTTTGAAGCACTTGTAAAAAAAAGTCATCATAAATTAGATTTGAATTATGCTTTAGTTCTTCTAAGACATACTAATTGACAAGCCGATGCATTCTTTGGACATCGGGGGGGAAACTTAAAAGTGCACACCATAACCATTTCCAGTTTGTATTTGATTTGATTGATAATAAAAAAAAGTTCATTTTCGATACCGATGCTTTTATCTACTAAATGTGAAAATATGTACAACTAACTTTATGGAGTTGGAGACACAGAGATAGTGGATTCACACTGCATCTCTCCTGTAGTTCGGACACACGGGGGAGATAAGGAAGAACAGTTTGGTCTAAACAACAAACAAAACTGGCCATGTAGGCGCTTGTCTCGCATCGTGATCAATTAAGTGTAATGGAAAGTGCAACTTCAAGGTGAGGGGCGTAATAAAACTATAATTGTGTGTAAATATGTCATGAATAACACAGCAGAAACAGATTAGACTTGATTTAAATGATGCAACATAATGGAAAAGACAAAAACAACAAAGAGAATAAGTATGTGAGTGCTTGTCTGCACACTAAATACTTCTAAGTGTCACAGATGATATTTATAATAAAACTGGAAGACGACCCACTCTACCTCTAAGCCACAGCTGCCCCATTAGGCTTCTTCACATACAATTTTTTACCAAACCACAATTTGTTTTCTTAACCTAAACAAGTAGTTTCAAATGATGACAATGTGTGTTGGACACTCATTAAATCACTTTTTCATGAGCAGTAATTTCAGACACCTAATGAAAGCGTGTGTTGCACAACTATAATTGCATTGTGGGATTGTTAGCAGAAAGTTGTGTTTGTGCCATGGACACAGCGTTCCATTGTGGGAATTTTAAAAGGTGACTAAGGTGTTGCTCAAAGACCACAGTAAAATGATTCCCCAGTCTGTCGGACACAATGGCGGAGGGAGGGGTTAAAACATCGAAATCAGACGCCAAGTTGACACCGGACACCATAGTTTGAGTCTGAGGGACAATGGTGTGGGAGCTGAGACAATAGTCACTATAGCCTAACCGCTTTTCCGAGTGACAGAAGATTCTGTTAAGATTGATGGCAAATGGGCTTCATGATGATGCGGCTGACACGAATATCTTATCAAGAGAGTAACCTGAGCGCCACTTAAATATCCGAAAGCAAATTCCACGCAGTATTCTTGCATGGCTCTTAATTCATCACAGCGTGGCTTTTGTCAACCTGCTGTGACATGTTGCCTCTGTACAAAGCCACATTACTGCACTTATCTTCTCGCCAACCCCCCTCGCTGTGACAGCAGCATGCCATTGTCTACCAATTCAATTACAGGATGGCAGGAGACAAGATTTATTCTTTGCCATTAGCAGAATAGTTTCCTGCCGGAGCATGGTGGAAATATGCAGTATTCTTCTTTATTTATTCCAGCCTGAGCATCACATTTGGAGTCGTGCTTGGTTGGAAGCCGTAGTGCTGAGCCAAAAGGTCACTCTAGCTACGCCGAAAACAAGCAGTGGAACACTACGGTGAATGCATATTTCACAAAACAAAAGGCCAGCTCTCCAGAATACATCTTCATAAAAAAACGCTGGTCCCTCCAAAATCCAGAATGATCTCGTATAATCACTCGCATCTCTTTTGAACACATGATCACATTCTCTCAGTGCCTCTTGTTTGCTCTGTGGCACAACAGCATATTTTATTTGAAAAGGAGGAGGCTGTCTTGGTTATGTGATTGTCTCATCATTCATATTTACTCTGTTGAATTGAGGATCAGCCAAGCTTATCTTCTATGCTATGATGTAAGCCCTTGCAAAAGACTTCATTAAGATGGATCTTAAAGCCAGCAGGTGTAATAGGTAGGCACATCATATTTGTGACTCAAAAATCCCCGTTTGAAATTGGCTCTGAAGCCAAGATTTTCACACAACTAATACACAAGCTTTCTAGCTTTTCCTGTCTTTTTAATTTGCCTCGTTACTGGTAGTCGTGTTATTTTTCCGTTTCTCTGTGAGTGTGTTATTACCACACCTCCTGAGGGCCCACGGACGACCAGAATACTCCTCACAAGTGCCTCTTACCCATCAACAACCTCTGACTGAGGACACAAAAGCTGCACTTTGGGTTTGTAATCAGTGCCCTAAAGCTTAAGCAGGGCTTGCGTATTGAAAGCGTGTTTTTGCATTATTCCTGCTTGTTGTTTTAGTATAGTGCTTTCAAAGATCCATCATCACTAAAATGTCCAATTAAGACTTCATTTTCGTGTGTGTTCAATCCACTCTGCAATCAATCCCGTCCTTTCTTCAGTGAACTCCATTTGTTATTGTGACACAAATAACAAATGGAGTTCAGGGGCTTGATTGCCACTTGGGCCCTACGCTACGAATGAGTGTCAGGGCGCTGTAAGGGACTTAAGAGCATCAATCAAAGGCCTATTTTGTGACATGAATTCGGATGACTGCCATTTTTATTTGTAGGCTGTTTGTGGAGTCTATCGTCTAGAATGTAACTCAGCTCCTTGTATGAATGCCCTAGTGCAGATCATTTTTATTTCTTCTTATTGTTGATGGGGAACAGAGTGAAATGTTATGTGTGCATTCGTGAGAATTCTTTTCCAACCACACAGAGTGAAACAAGAATAAAACCTTGACGTTATTGGCAGTGAATGATTCCTCCTGCAGGAAATTAGAGTAGCCTTGATTATTTCAACTGTTTCGAATGTGACAAGCTGGATTCCGAGGGTTAACTGGGGTCCCGTCATATTTACCAACGCCATGAGTTTTGATTTGTAGT